CTGCACTAAGGATGGAGGCTTTGGACAGGGAATCTGTTCATTTATTGTTTGTGTTTCTTGCAAAGAAACTAATTTCCTTTTGAAGCCTGAAACTTGTGGCTGGCCCTTTCCTATATGACATGGTGCTTGCATTGTTCGCATTGTGAGTGAAGCCCTTGGGCACTTGACTGTCCTAATAGGAGCTCAGTCATCTTGCAGCTGGGGCCTGCTCGAATTCCCATAGCTGATAGGCCTGTGGAACTCAGCATGCTAAGCATTGCCTCTTTTAAAAGGAAATTTTGCAGTAGGAATGAGCATGAATGGGGAATTGCATTTCTTCTTATTTTGTACATCTGGGGTGAGGGAAAATAATAGCCTTTAGAAGGATTCAGCCTTCAGATAGCATAGACTTCTCTGAGGCTTACTCAGTTAACATCAAGTCTAAGATGCCTTCAGTGCTTAGCCTATGCTGAACTACCCTTATTGACGTTTTGTACATCCATTCGTGAAAACAGTTTTGCCCACTTCCTATTTACAAGTTTCTGGTACATTGAAAAACAAGCAAAATAACTCCTTGAAAATACCAGGTCATGGTGCATACTGTTTCTACAGCATTAGCCCAGCTTTAGGTAGTTAGCTCGGTGACTTCAGAGGCAGTGTCTTCGTGGTAGCCTGGAACAGAGATCTGCTGGGACTTGTCAAATCCTTAATCAAGGTTTATTATATTTACTGTGATCAAAGGTAGTCCCCAAAACCAGGCTGGCCCCATAAAATATCTTAGGGTTGAACATGTGCAGGAACCTGTTACATCTCCACTAGGCTTCAGAGATCAGTAATCACAGCCAAATTCAAGTTACTTCAGAACTGGTTGAGAGTATCTAGTGTATTCTTGCAGCAAAGAGCTTTATCCTTGGTTTGTCAAATAGATTTGTCCTGTGTTTTGGGCTTCCTGGAGCCTGGATCATAGTAAATCTAGAACTAGTAAATGCAAAACTCATCAGCTGTGATAGATCCTTCCTATCATTAGCTACAGTTACAAATGGTCTCAAAAAGAGGTAATTACTTTTCAAAGGTACTCATGCTTAAAGATGAAAATACTAATCTAGGGGGAATTTGATACCAGGGCCTAATCGCTGTCTCAAATTGAGTCACAAATTAGCTCAGGGACTTCTCCAGGTACCTCAAGCTTTTATCTGTAAGCATCTTAATAGATTTTTCTCTTACTATGAGGGGACCTGCCAGACACTAAAAACTTAAGGGTAAACTAGATCTAGTCTAGAGGAAAAAAAAGAAAGAGCTCTGGTTTCTGTTAAATACATGTGAAAAAAAATGCCTCTAATATGTAGATGTTCCATGTTCCTGAAACTTGTACTCCAAAGCTCTAGAGTATTAGCTCTTCCTCTGAGAGTCTGGTAGCAGTAGTCAGGAAATGTCCTGCTCTTCACTGAAGGAGTGCCATGGAAAGTGGTTTTGCACTGCTTTTTTCCCCTTTCGGTCTGAACTGAGACATTGGATTGCATGGCTTGATTCATAAATGAGCAATAGCTGATTGGCAAAGGTTCATTTCTCCACATGCGAAGATGAGTTGGACCCTCTGAGGGGATTGAGACTGACGGATAAATATCTGTCATGTGTAGGTGGCCTATAAGAAAGGATTGGAGGATTTTTTTTTTTAAATCTTTGTTAAGACTTCCCCCCCACACTCTTTAAACTCTTTTGTCATGTGCTGAGTGAGGGTGGATGGAGATTGGGGTGGTGGGGGGAGAAGGGAGGGCTGCTGAAAGCATTTATCTTCATTTCTGCCATCACCCAGTGTTTATTACGCAGTGATAGACAGACGCAGGAAAGCTGCCAATCAAACCTACGTTCACTGCATTTCAATTGGCCTTCGCTTTGGATTTCAGCGTTTTGAAATCTACATCATCTCTGCAGTAAAAGGCCGTTCTGTTCACGGGGGTGACAAGCCCGAGACCCTCAGGTACCCACTGCAGTCACTTGTGATCCCGTCAAACAGTGGAAGACCCAGGAATCAGGATAGACTGTCAAGTGCTTGGTGAGAATTGCTGTTTGTAAGAGCTCATCTGCTGCTGCCCACACTTAAGAAGCTGAAGTGTGGTGTTTGCCTCCATGTTACACTAGAACTTAAGAGGAAACAGCACCTTCTGCTCTTGCCCAGGTGGAAACCCTGACTGGGCAAAGCCAGCTGAGAAGGAGTTCTCACTCTGCACAGTGAGCAGGGATTTTAACTTTCATAAGTTTTCCACTCATGGTTTCAAATATTCCTAATGGAAAAAGTGAATAACAAAGGTTAGAATAGCATAGGTGTGTACTGGAGGGCAAGGGGGTATTTTCCTCCCTAAACTGAATGTCTGAAATGTTTACGTGGCTTTAACCATCTTTGTTGTAGGACAGTGCCATCGTGCATGTGGGAGGCTTCTGGCAGGACTTGCAATACAAATATTATCCTACTTTATTATTTGTAGCTAGATATAATTTAATAATTATACTTAATTACATAATTAGTATAAGCAGAGATACTTGCTTAATAAAAACATGTAGATCATGGATTTGCCATTAGTGTTAGGCACACCAGTGTGTTTGCCTTTGAGAAATGGACCAAATCCTTCTGAACATGCACCTTTCATTCTCTGAACCTCGTTCCCTGTGTCCTGATCTTTTTGATAAAGGTATCTGTTACCTGAAGCACTAGCATTAGTTGTTAGCTTTTGCTGGCTCTGAAATGTGTGCAAAGCTGTCCTGTAGATGGGGAGGTACTGTTTTTTCCATTGTTAGCTTTTCCATGTAGGTTGTGACTGCCTTTAGAGGTGAAGGGGGTGTGAGGTTTAAATGAACACCATAACTAACCTGGAGGTTCTGGGGAAAGAGGTGAGAAGACCAGAGTCTTTACAGGGGAAAAGAAAAAACAGCCTACATTTGCCAGTGGTTTTTTTTTATAGTACTTGTAGCAGTAGGTGCAACAGTTGTATGTGCCAGATGAACCTGCTGTTTGTGGTGTTCCTAGGCTTCTGTGATATAGAGGGAGCACATGATTATTCTCCAGTTTATGTATCACTTGCCATGCCTGTAAAGGTTGTTCTCATTGCAAAACAGGTGATGGCTTTGTAATGTTCATGTGTAATAGGATCAATAGTCTGGAACTGTGTTGCCCTGAGTACTGCTACTGTTGCCTGCCTCAGCAGAGTGTTTTCTTGTCCGACTCAGTCCTGTAAGGCAGTTGCCACCTAGTTGGAGATGTTAGTTACTGTTTCCCTGCAGCAAGTCCCACTGCTTGAAATCTGTACAGAAACTGGTTTTCTGTTCTCCACCTGGTGGCTGGAGGCAAGAGAGCAGAAGAGCTTCCCTTGTGTACCAAACCCAGGCTTGCAATGAGGAGACTTTTAAAAATGAAGCAACATAAATTTTGATCGTCCTCCTTCCCCTCCTGGTTGCAAAATGTAATTTCATTAATGCTTTGAATCTGCTTTCTCCAGTGCATCTCTTTTGTTCAGAGAAGCCCTTTGTTTGGGGGGATATAGAGAACAAGGCCTTGGGCATACGTAAGACAAATGGAAATGTTCTTAATTCTGCTCTCCAAGTGGTTTGTGCACATCTGACAGAGGCAGATACAGAGACTGAGCAGACACACGGTGGAGGTTTGTCAATTACTGAAGGCCTGGCACGTCTGAGTACACAGTATGAAGCTGGCTGTTTAGGAGTCTTGCTCTTTGCGTATTTCTGAGCTTTCTCCAGAACCAGAACTTAGGACTTGAGACACCTTATTGATGAAAAGAGGACTAGCAGCAGCCTTCTTGGTGTCTTTCTCTTTGTTTGTCAGCACCCATGCCTGAGAGTTCTGCTGGGATTTGATAAGAGAAGTAAAAATCCAGCCACCCTAGTCTCCTCATCTTCCTCCACACCATCATTTATTAGCAGTTAGCAAGCTTTTACCTCTCCGTGCAGACAGTTGGCCTGCTGCATACTGGATATGGAGGTGTCCAAGCGATGTCTCTTCCACTGTTGCTGCTGTAGAAGCCAGCCCTTCTGGGAGAGTGAAGCCATTGACATTTCTGTGTGCTTCCCACTGGACACAGTGTGGAGATGCTGAAATCAGGTTGCACGGACTCTGGAGGCTGTACTTTTCCTCATTTGTGCTTGGGGGTGATCTTGTTTTGTTCTCTCTTATCAAATTATTTTACCTTGAGTTTCTCTGGGCGCCAGCACATGTGTGTAGTACAAGGGCCGCGTGTGTATGAAGGCCTTAGAGACGGCAAGTAGCATGAGATTCTTGTCTCTATTATGGGAGAACTGTTTCTTCTCTCTACTTGTCTCTCTGGGGATTGCATTTAGTGCCTCCAAGCTTTCTCAAAATGCATGCTGACTTGAGTCACCAGTGGCAGTTCCTTTCCACCTGGAAAGTTACCTTCTTTGTGGTAGTTTCTGAAGTATTCTGCTTAGCCTTCTGCTTTAGTCCATTGCCTGAATCCTTGGGTGGAAAGTGCCATCTTGTAGGTCCTCCTTGGTAATATTTTGTTACAATTAGTACTGTGTGGCAGATATTGTAGGCAACTTATATCTTCTGAATGGAGTTCACAAGGATTATGTCCACAAATATGTATGATTCATCAGGGCAATGCTTTTCCTTAATATGTATTCTGGTTTTCCTTCATAGCTATTCTAGAAACTTTTGGCTCTCTGAAAATACAACTTCACTAGTACCAATAAGTACTAGTGCATCAAATTAATTGATTAGGATTTCTACCTTGTGAGTCTGGACAAGTCTTATTTCTCATCAACTATCTTTTCTTTCAGAAATGTGTTTCAGGGAGGTGCTTTTCTACTAATTTCCTGTGCTCGGTGGCTTGTTTAGGAGATGTTGCCATTTCTGTAAATAAGGTTTCTTTAAGAATCTAGAGTTTTGTGTATTAGATTTTGAAAGGTTTCCTATGGTTTTATCTTCCCCAGCTCCTTTCTTCATAATTTTCTGGAGGTTAAATTGCTAATTATTTCTTCCTTTTCTGTAGGTGCTGTGATTGGGGATGGACAGTCAGCTGTGGCCAGCAACATTGCCAACACCACCTACCGGCTCCAGTGGTGGGACTTCACTAAATTTGATCTGCCTGAAATCAGCAATGGTAAGCTGGAAAGGGCACCAGTACTTTCTTTTAAGTCTATGCCAATCAGGCCTACCATAAGCTCTACGATATTCCAAAGGTAGCTGTATGTTTCAGGCCTTGGATTACGTGATTGTCGTGTTGCATTGGGAACTGTAAAATGCTCAGCCTTTTGTGATACTTGACTCAAAGTATACAGAGCTGTTCCTGCTCTGTCTAGCTTGTGTATTCTTGCTATCAGCAAATCCTTGCATAAATGGGGCTCTTTTGTGAGCATTCTCATGGGAATATACAATCCTTTTAAAAGAATTCTGTATCAAGTCACCTCATTCTTTTATCAACATGTTTCTTTATACCTTTACATTAGAACCTGCTTATGAATTGGGTCTGAATTCTCCAAGTTACTGACATTAGTGTGGGCTGAAGTTCTGCAATACATTTTGGGTATCAGCGCCCCGGTCTTGCAAGCTGGGGGAAGTAGGTGTAGCTTCTAGCCATTTGCAAAAGCAGTGATTCGTCCCATATCTCAGGTGAAAGCTTACTCTGCATGAAGAGTATCAGCAAAATTGCTGATTTTATTTATTTGTTTATATATTTCTTCTTCTCCCTTGTGAAAATTGGACCATAGTTTTGTATGTGTTGTATGGCATAAGCTAGCTCTTGCACTGGAGGAGACTTCCTTATCCAGGCACAAGCATATTTGATGCCTGTGGTCAGCTGATCAAGGAATGACTTTTTCGGAGCTAAAACTAACTTGACTGGAAAGGCTATTTTTAACCCAGAATGGTATCCTAATATAGCTTGCTGCACAGCTGCAGAAATGTTTGTGGCAGCCTGGAATGAAGATAGGAGGTAGATATTAATGAATGTTTCTTTGTACAATGATTTTTAGCTTAGGCCATCTCTGTGCATATGTAAAATTCATTGCTTGACTTCTCGTCAAAAACAGATTTGGTTCTGCTTTAAGGGACTGACTTTTTTAGGGAGAACAGAGAGATTCTGTTTTCAGCAAGGCTTCTGCTTTCACAGGTAGCCATTGAAATTAAGAAAGAGTTTCTCCCACTCCCAGCCCTGTCTGTTCTGCAATTCCAGAAATTACATAGCTGATGATAGAGGTCTCTGTGGGGTACTGCCCTGTTGCTTAAAGAACCCGCAACAGGAGTACACGTAGAGATGTGAGGAATTGAAATCGTAGAATCACAGAATTATTTGGATTGGAAACGAGCTTTAAAGATCATCTAGTCCACCCCACACACTGCCATAGGCAGGGACGTCTGTCAGTAGACAGGGTGCTCAAAGCTCCCTCCAATCTGACCTTGAACACTTCCAGTGATGGGGCATCCACAGCTGCTCTGAGCAAACCGTATGGGGCCATCTACATCCCTGTCTCTGGGACATCAGAGGAGCTGGGGCAAAGCCACTAAGGAGCCCATGTAATTACAAAAAGCTTTCTTACTTTATCTGTAGGAATGCCACAGTATCTGGTGTTTGTGTCTCATCTCCTTTCTTCACATTGTGTAGAGTATTGTGGTGTGATGTTTATAGCATGGTGGGAAATAAAAGCCCTGCTTCTAGCTGGTAGCTCTCGACATTGTAAAGGGGGAAGATGCTTTATATCTTGTCCTGAAGAACCATTCTCTTCCTTGGGAATAAGCACGCAGTGTCATCTTGAAAGAAGAATACTGTGTTGAACTTGTGTACCAGTGCTTTGACGTGTCTTAGTAAGTGCAAAACTTTGTAGTTCTAGTGTACAGCTGTAGGTTGAGGATCAGTGCTTCAAGGCGAACTTTTGCCACACAGTGGCAATACTTTCTGTGGTCCAGCCAGACTCTAGAACAGAATAAAGGTGAAGTCAGAGGGGGAAGTATCTTGCTGCTGAGACTTCTCTGCAAGTTTGTAAAGTATTTGCAGGGTGCTACACTTGCTAATAGCTGCTTGTTGGTTTTTTGTGCCTCATCTGGCTGCTGAGAAGGCTGCTGATTTAAAAAAAACAACAAAACAACAAAAAAAACACACATCCAAAAAACCCAAAAATCAAACAGAACAAAAATCATAAGATGTTTGTTTATAGTTTATGGAATCCAATAGAAATAAGAACCATCTGCTTCTCAGGACATCAGTATTTCAATCTTCTCTCTGTCACCTACCAGGACACTTCCATTCTGAAATAGCTTTCAGTTAGCTGGAAATTTGGCTACAGTTGCTGTTGTCATTGTGCCCTTCTTGCAGGCAGAGTTCCTGCTGCAAGCCCATCCCCAGCCCTTCTGACTCTCCACTTTGTGCTTCATAGTACTTGGCTTGTTCATCTTCATTTATTACCATTTGGAAATATTTCGTTTTACTCTGCTTCGTCCTCTTTACATGCTGAGCCCAGCTCTGGCATTTCTAGACTGTTAGCCATATCTGCCTCTGCCAAGGTCTGGTAGGGATGTATGAAGATGTAGCAGCTGTGGTCATCTTAAAACTGGTATTTGCCAGGGTTGCCTAGGCACAGGAGAAAGGCAAGCTGCAAGTGTGCCAAGGTGCACAGATTTGTAGAGATACTGTGAAACTGTGTAACAGTGGTGGTTTGGAGGATTTTTTTCTGATTCTTCATGATCTTGGAAATAAACTTTTCCCAGTAAAGCATGTGACCTCAATAGCTCCTTCACCGCCCTCCCACCCAGTCATTTCCTACAAATCAGAGGTGGTCATGTGAGAGAGTTTGCTTACACAGAGAGGGCTATTGCACTTCGTGGGACTGGATGAGCCACAAGTGGTTTGGGAGTTCAGGCAGATGAAATGATGCAGCTGAAGTTTGGGACTGCCTGCCAGCTCCACTCTTCATCAGAGAAGTGGCTCTGTGGCCAACCTCCATCTCTGAGCAGCTCTTCTTCCTGTTACAATTAAACAAAGAAAAGATAGTTTTGAAGTAGGATATTTTCCACTGGAGCAGATGCATCTGAGCAAGTGACAGCAGCGTGATTAGTGCAGTCCTGTGGTCTCAGTGGCTCGGCCCTAGCACCCCTCGGAGCCCTGGGCTCCGCAGCAGCAACCGCACTAGCGCTCAGTCCAGCAAGCACACGAAAGAGGACTCCGACGGTCTTGGGGAATGGCTTTGCAGGGACTTGAGGGATTTTAGTCTCTGCTCTGTCTTTCTGAATGGAAAAAAAGGTGGCTTCAGGTTTCTTCTCTCATTTTGCCAGTTTTGCTTTTAATAACTGAAATGAACATGACCCAGTCTTAAACTGTAATTGTCAGTCATATCGGCTTTGGGGTGAGGAATTTATTTGGAAGCAGAGACAATGCTATCTCTGGCCTAAATTTAATATTCTTCTAGTAAGTGTTGCAGGTTCTTAAAACTTCCCACAGCTAACAGGCAAGTATTGAATTGGTGAACAGTATGGAATTGGTGAACAGCCTTTCCACAGACAAAATATTTGAAAGTCTTGTCTCATGTGTATATCTTTTAAATATAATTTCTCTCATGCTACTTACTGCTTGTTATTTCAGTTTCTGGCCACTGTGGCTGAACTGGTCTAGTTCTTTCACATTTAGTCACATGTAAGGAATTTGTGCTGTTCACACACTGGCTGGAATCTGAGGAAGGTGATTTGACATTTGCTGATCCACAGTGGGATGCAGAGGAACTTAAGGAAATAAAAAAAGCATGGTAAACAGCATATAAATAGGAGCAGCTGTTAAGAAAGTGTCATCCTTTAAGGGTGTCTGGGAGTGGACAGTGCACCCAGCACTGTTTTCCTTTGGCAAACATTGCTGTTGCTGCCAGTGTTCCAGGCCTTCCCCAGCTTCAATTATGATGTAGGTTTAAGAGCTCAACGTTGGCACAACAGCTTGATTAATTTGTTCTCTGATGTTTCTTTTGATCTGTTCTGTCAGCTCAGTGGCTGCATTAACAACAAAAGAAAACAAGAGATGAAAGGGCAGCCTTGTGTAAATGATTTTCCAAAAATAGCATTTTTTTCCCCTAAAATCTTCTCTGTTGGCTTCATTTTCATAGATCAGGCCTCAGGCTCAAAGAAATCAAATAGCCTGTGGCTTTGTCAAATGCATGGGTATCTTCATCCTCCCTGTGTCTTGGGAATCTTTTAGATGCTGTTCCTTAAAATGAAACCTTGCTGAGATCTCCACCTCTCACATTTAGACTTTTTCTGCTGGCACAGTAGGCTCCCTTGGTTCTAGGTGTAAGTGCTGCCTGAGTCCCTCTTCCTTCTTAAATGAGGGAAGAGCGAAGAACCATGTCAGTGTGATTCCTATCTTGAAAGACTGAAATAAAGGGCACTCTTTCTTGTTCAGCTCAACTTACATCTGTGATGTTTTAAGTTCCAGGCACACATCAAGGGGGAAAGATAGTTCACTTCTGGCAGGGGAGCTCACAATCTGTTTTGCTAAGAGGCATTCACCATATGCAACAAACTTTAAAAAGAGCAAGACACGCAGTCACGTTGACCATCATTGTGGACTGCTCACAAAAAACCTCTGTGCTGTGATGGAGGGGTGGGTGGGAAATAAGAAATGAAAAGCCATGTAGATAGAAAATAAGTTAACATGTGCTATATGATAAATAGGCTCTTGGTGTCTGGTGATCCAAGCCCAACATTGTTTTAAAAAGACATATAGTAAATGCTAGATAAGGAAGAGAATTAGAGAGACTTGGAAAAAAAGTAGCCATGAAACTGCGAGGATATGTACAAGACATGGCAATGTCCTTGAACCTTTAAGTGGGACAGAAGAAATGCAAGCATTTCGTACCTCACAAAAATAAAGATGTGTAATTCTGTTCTTATAAATGTCCAAGGTTGCATTAGATTAAAAAATCACCAAACTTTAAAAGCTGAGAAAAGGCACGGATTCTACAGACCATGGCTTTCGATAGTTACAGGAACAAGGAAGAACATCACCTTTGCCCAGAGAAATCAGTATCTGTCCCCTCTAAAACTTCTTGCACCTCTTTGAAAAGCACCAGGAGCTCATCAGTACAGAAGGGTCCCTGGTCTAAATGACACCCATACCTTTGGTCTGGTGACCATAGTATACAATCTCGCTACTTCCAGTATTGAGCATCAAATGACAGTAGTTAACATTGTAGAGAAACTGTGGCTACCTCATGGAAACTGCATCCTGAGCCCAGAGATGTAGGGGAAAAAACCTGGATATTTAGCAGAATAGGAAAGAGAGAGAGAACAGGTCTTAGATCCTAAAGAAGGAGGCTAGACTGTATTTTTTTCTTCTAATAATCAAATTTTTTTGCAGCGGTCGTGGTGTGTTTTGTAGTTGTATCTCTGACACGTGCTCTCCCTGCTCTCTTGTTGGTTTTCTTCTTGGCTCTCTTTTAAGTAGTTAACTCAGGTTTGGCTGGGAGAGTCCCAGTATTCACCTGTCCAGGAAGTTCCCATTTCCTCCCTCACCCTCCCCTTTTTAAAAAATCGTTTAGATCACTGCTGATTAGATTAGAACTACAAAGAAATTGGTAAGAAAGGTCCCCCTTAACCACTGACTTTCCCTCCCTGCTGTCTTAGGCAACCACATCCTATAGTTCCTCTTATTCTGTCTTAAAATTGGTTAAACTCCTTGCCTCTTTCACGTCTGTTGTGAGACTGTTCTAGAATTTTGCTATTTTGGTAGAAATCTTCTAATTTCCAAACTTACTGGCTGCTTTTACCCACTTACTTACCTGTCAACGTTATTTGTGAAGAGAACTGATGTTTTTCTGGCACTTACTATCTGCTATTTTTTGTAAATACAATCCTATTTCCTTGCAATCTTAAAAAGAAAAAAGAAAAGAAAAAAAGAAACACCACCAACAAAAACATCTCCTAACAAAACATAAAATACGTGCTACATTTTCCCCAGTCATCTTCCTGTCTTTTTGCTGAATTTGTTACCATTTAGGGATTTATCTTTCTCGAACGTGGCTGACCAAAACTGTGCCTGGTATCCTGCATGTGGTCTCAGGACAAGGTTGTGTATTAGCACTGATCTCTCTATTGTAAGTGTACTCCCTGATGCAGTTTAGGGTTGTCATCTCTTTCGCTGTTATGCCAGGTGGGTAGCTTGGTCTTTGCTATGATCCCCAAAGTTGATTCTCTCTTGTTTCCAACTGAGGAGCTCCTAGGTAAAGCAGAAATTTATAAATGTTAATACGTTATAGAAGTCTTTCATTTTGCTTCTGTTCTGTCTCTGTGTACCTCAGTTCACTGTGTGGACTGATCATGCTCTGTTAATTAAATTACCTAACTTTATCAACAGAATTCATTAACCAGCTCCGCTGTGTGCCTAGCTCACTGATAAAGCTAATAAATAGGAATGGGTTTGAAATAAGTCACTGCAGAACTCTGCAGGAATCCTCCCAATTTGACAGGGATTGCAATAGTGCAGCCTGTTGCCATGCATCCTTTAGCTGGTTCATAGCACAGACATCTCTTGTGATGAGGTGGTGAGTACTTGAGTGAAGCCTGGATTTGGGAAACAAACAAACAAAACCAACAACAAACCCCAACTTTTAATTCTACCTTTTTAAAAATTAGATAGTACAGTCTTCAATCTTTGTTCTGTTGTCTTCCTGTTCAACTGGCTTCGGACTGAGCACTCAGGAATTTTGTCATCCTTTGGGCTGTCTGTTCTTTGAAGGGTCATGTATATTTTAGATGCTGTTATTACAGCACTGACAGTGACTACCATTATTTACATTTTTTTCCTGTTCAACACCTTTATGTTTATACTAGGCTGAAAATTACTGTTTTTAGCAGCTTTGAGACTGAAAAAAATGGTTGAATAAATATAGAGTACAGGTGTAGGTGGTTTGGTACAGAATGTAATTACATAGTCCACTTTTTATCCTCATCATCTTTTTCATCAGAGTTTCTTAAATGAAACAGTAGACGTTTATACTCAACCAGGAAAAGTGTCTTTGAGACCAGAACTGAAGTTGAGATTCAACAAGCGGTTCAAATCAGCAATGCTGGAAGAAGCAGCAGTCCTGTCTGCTTCCCTGTGATTACTTCTTGCTGCTGCAAGTGTCTGTGTGGCCAAGTGGTATGCCAGGTTGGGAAACTGTTCTGGCTAAAGAGTGACCTAGACAACAGTCATTAATTTCTCAGCTGTATCAGTTCCCCGATGTAGCTTTTTTTCCACAGAAGTGTTGGAAACAAAGGGCAGGAATTGTTTCTTCTGGCATCAGCGCCAGTTTGTTAAAGCATTGAGTTACAGCCTTAGTTTGATTTGCAAGTTCAGACTTTCAGAAGTATGCACAAAGCATTCTTGGCACTGTTCTTATGTTAAACTAATAAGGAGTCTAGCCCAAGTGCCTTCATGAGCTCATTTGAAATTTTAGCCAAACAAGTCAAAGCCACTTCTAGGCTGTACATGATCTGAAGATTCAGAAGAGAATTCCTGGCCTATAGAAGTTGGCATAGTGCTCCACATGATGCTACAGCTTCAAGCACATGAGATGGGGTGTTCAGGCTTCAAGCATGCAAAGCTTCTATATTGCAAATGTGGGCTTTATTTCTATTTTTAAATATATTTCTATCCTACTGAGTTTGAAAATACTGAAATCTGAAATTCCCCCATTCCCAAAATAGCGTATGTGGTTTCAGCTCCAAACCTGGAATAATTGCAGCAGTTTTAGTGAAACACTGGAGTACATTTAGGTTAGGCTGGGGGAGCAACCATAGCTCCAGCCTTGTCTCATCAAGCCACCGTTGAACTGTTGGTGGTGATGATGCTAAAAGGCCTTGGAACCTCATTGTCCTAGGAATGGCACAAACACATGGTAAGATTTAGTAGCCTGAACAGCTTATGGGCTGCATATGCAAGGCATGGAGGGGAAAAGATTTGTATGAGGTCACTCAGCAACTCACCACAGAGTTTAAAGTAAAACTTGTGTTTTCTGAATTGCTGCTCGCTGCTCTGTCTGCTAAACAGTTACTTTACTGATTGCAAGAGCATCTAAAATACTGGAGTAATTAAATGAAGGACTGGGTAGAGAAGTCTCTGCCCTTTCTCACTTGCTTTACCCAAGATTGGTATAAAAATCAGCTGTCAAAAAATTAATGTCTGTATCCGCAGGGTGGAATTTTTCTCTCATCTCCTGTTTATTGGAGATAAGGGGAGCTGGAACTAGGGGCTCTGCAAGAGAAGGGGAAATGAATTAAGTCGTATTGTTTTCAATGATACTGCTGCTGGAGTTTGCCAGAAAGTCACGATTCAGGACTTATTTAAACTGTGTTGTCCTTTACAAAGGATGGTGTTATGCTCAACAAAGGAGGGGTTTGGTAAAGTGCAATTGCTTGCCACTTGGCTGAAGGCTCCAGGAGGTGAGTAGATTTCATTCCCTGGGCTCATTGCAGCATCTTATCTCCGTTTTGGAGCAGGTTTTACATTAATCAGGGTATTAACATTTTGTAAACTTTTGGAAGAACCTGAATGTCTTGAGTGTCTTTTCCATGTACTGTCTGATCTCCAACATTAAGTTTAAACCTTGCTTTATTCTCTGTTGAACCTGAGTGCTTTAACCACTGTTCATTTCTTCCTTCTTTGCAGCCTCGGTGAACGTGCTTGTTCAAAACTGCAAGATTTACAATGATGCCAGCTGTGATATCTCTGCCGACGGGCAGCTGCTGGCAGCCTTCATTCCCAGCAGTCAGAGAGGCTTCCCTGATGAGGGAATACTGGCTGTGTATTCTCTGGCACCCCACAACTTGGGCGAGATGCTTTACACAAAGCGATTCGGTAAGTGTGCAGCAAGAGGTCAGGGTGGGTGGGAGTATGAGAAGATACCTCAGAACTCAGCCTTCAGTGTGGCTATGCAATAATCTGAACATCACTGATTGTAGTAACAGGAAGTATTTTATTGACCTTCTAACCAGCCACAAATACAGTACTGCTGAGGAGACAGAAGCTTGTGATATGGTCTGGACATGTAAGGTGCTGGTCTAGGGGAGCTGCTAAGGGATAAGGTTTTCTTATTCCTTTAAGAACTTCATGGTCTTAGTGGGAGGACACTTGCTGCAAGGAAACATCTCACAGGTTTTTTTTCTTGTGCAGTTCTCATTATTCTTCTCTACCCCTTATAAGGATAAGCTTACATTATGGGAATGCGGGAAGGGATTGAAGGAGCTGTGAGGATGAGGCATGGGGAGGGATGTCAACCTGCAAGAGAAATAACTCCTCTTCTCTTTATAGGCCCTAATGCCATTTCTGTGAGCCTGTCTCCAATGGGCAGATACGTAATGGTGGGACTGGCTTCCCGACGCATCCTGTTGCACCCCTCCACGGAACACATGGTTGCTCAAGTCTTCAGGCTGCAACAGCCCCATGGTGGAGAAACCTCTATGAGGGTGAGTGTATGTGTATTCTGTTTCTGTGTTTTCATCAGTGACTTTGTGTTGTTCTGGCAGTAGCAGAGTAGGTGGTTGCCGGCAAAGAGGTAGCATGCTCCAGGCCTACTTGAATAATAAACATGTGGAGGAATTTATTTTAGAGGTAGGCAAATATGACAGGAGAACATAAATGTAACAGAATTGTGAAACTTTACTCTGGTTTCAAATATGATAATAGACAAATATATCCTGCGTTGTGTGTGGTATCCTAAGCCTGGATGTCACTCATAGTACCTAGTAGGTATTTGTTTAGCGTAATGTGCATATTGCTTGTGGTACTACAGCTGGTTTTACTGAGGGAATTTTTCAGCTCAGGTTTCAGGGTAATTTCTTAACATTCTGAAAAGCGGGTAACCTCAAAGCAGTTTCAGGAAAGGTGAGAGCCAAGCTTCACATCATACTTGCAGGCTAAAGGTGAGGCTTACCATACTTTTCCCAAACAGGCTTTTGTTGGCTATTTAATAATGAGTTTTCTATGTATATGTAGGCCTATTTTGGCAATGGAATTATCTTTCCGTACTTCTCCTCTGTGGAAGAACTGAAGTGTGGCCCATGCTGACTCATTTACTATGAGGAAAAACGTTCATCTTTTTGCAAACTGGAAAATAGAGTTAAGAGAACACGTGTATCTTGCTTTGTTCATCAACAGAGCACAACAGCTATTCAGTGATAGTTTGGGATGGAAAAAGCTATGTGCACTTGATAATGCACAGAGAGAGTTGAGGAGGCAGAAACAGATAGTTTCTAAAGCTGAAATCTGGGCTGGATTCAAGTTTTAGGCCGTGTGTTCAGGTGACTTTTGTTGCAGGAGATGAAAAATAGCTATTCAAACCTTTTCACTTTGAGAGATAACTTGATCATAGTGGAATTCATTCCATGAGCAGCTTTTTCCCCTCTTTCTCCTGTCCCACTTTTTAATATGTTTTTTCTTTTTTAAAAGGCCCCTCTGATTAATACTACTTCTGGCAGAGCTTTCTCAGTGTGCAAGGATTGCACTGAGCCATTCATCTAGTGGCCAGCACTGGGGAGAGGCTTGTTTCTGGGCAAAATTGCTTGGTTTGCTTTCAGACTCTATAGTTGCTCTCCAAACTGCTCATGATTCAGAGAGGGTCATCTCATCTGGGCATTACATGAGCTGCTTTATCAGCTGGTACAGACCTCTTGTTTATCACTGTCATCTGCTCCATGTTAAAATGCAAGAGAAAACCCATGATGAGGATATTCTTTGGTGCACCAATTGGTGCTTTTTCTGCCCTGGTTCCAAGCCACCATTCTGGTACGAGCCTCTTAAGGTAAGAGGCAGAAATTTAAAAGTATTTGAGAGAAGCACAATTTGGTTAGCAGGTAGGGTTGATGAAAGCTCTGTGGATACGATAAGATCAGTAATTACATAGATTCAGTATCCTGTTAGAGCCTTTTAAAAGTCTGGTTTACCCTGGTACTGTGGGTTTTTTGGTTTTTTTTTCCAGTTATTTTAAGATCCTAGTGAAATCCATAGCTTTTACTGCCAAACACAGGAGTGTCCCTTCCCACAGTCTTTTTACCGTGTCATAATAAGTTGAGATCAAGATGGTCCTATTAGCTAAAATTGTGTCTCTTCCCATAAAGAGCTATGCTAGGGTTCTTTCCTCTCATCCATTCTTTACATTTGCTCTAAGCTGCAGTTGCCACGGCTTCTATCTAGTCCTTCCTTTTGGAGACTTTTTTTGTAGCCAGCTAAGTCACTAAGCTTCTGTCTAAATTTTCCATTTATATTTCTTCATCTACATTTAAAATGTATCTTCTTT